TCAGCCTCCCAGAGTGCTAGGACTAACTGGCTTTTAAGTGGCTCTTGCTGCACATTTTTGGCTTGAATCTCAAGGCTTGGCAGATCCATTTTACAGATGAGGCTGCTGATGTCCAACAAGGTGATGTTTCCCCAGGTACCAAAGCCAGCAGGCCCTGCAGCTCCCATCCTACTTGACACATGAGCTCCTGCAGCTCTCCTCCACGGAGACCACAGGTGTATTTGGAAGCAGAGCTGCTGAACACTAGATGAATATTTCCTGCATTGGTCTTCTGAGGAGTTATTAACACAAGCTGACTATCCCTCATCCAAAAATCTCAAGTGCTCCAAACTCCAAAACTTTTTGAGCAGTGGAGGATTCCACCCCAGCTGTCTGGTGATAGGATGCAGTTACAATGCAGATGTAGCCAAGTGAGGCGGCACATAGCTGTAAAGCTCTAATTCTAGCAGTTGGGAGGCTGAGGCGAGAGGATTGCTATGCATTTCAGGCTAGCCAGGGCTACAACGTGAGACCCTGCCTCAAAAAAAAAAAAATCTTAATTTTTTTTTTTTTTTTGAGAAAGAGCTTGCTAGCTGGACATATAGCTCAGTGGCATAAGCACCTGCCCGGCAAGCACAAGGTCCTGAGTTTGATTCCCAGTACCAAAAAAAAAAAAAAAAGAAAAAAGAAAAAAAGAGAAAAGAGCTTGCTAGTTAGCCCAGAAAAGCCTTGAATTTATGTAGCCCAGGTTGGCCTCACTTATGATCCTCCTGTCTGGAGCGCTGGGATTATAGGAGTGTACCACTATGCCCAGCTTGTTAAATATTTAAACAGTTTTGGCTGGGTGTGCTGGTACACACCTGTAATCCCAGTGCTCTGCGAGGCTCACACAGCAGGCTCCCAGTTTGAGCAGGCCTGCACAATTTTGTGAAACTTTGTCTCAAAACAGAAAGCAAGAGGGAGGGACTGGGGATGCAGCTCTGTGCAGAAGGCTGGGTTCAGTCCCTCCTATTGCAAAATGAACAATAAAGTGTAAGATAATGTGTTACAGTCTGTGACTGAGGCCCATCATTGAAGTCTTGCCTTGCTGTCTTGAGTCTTTCTGCTGGTTCTTGCTCAGATGGCTTTACTTTCATACATATCTATTTGCTACTCATCGTCTGAAAAATTATATATGGGACTCTGTTTTTTATTTGTTTTGAGATAGGGCCTTGCTATGTAGTTCAGGCTAGGCTGACCTCACTGTGTAGCCCAAGATGGCCTCAGATTCATGCTGATCCTCCTGCCTCAGCCTCCTGCTGTTTCTGCTAGACTTCATCAAAAAGTATCCTCCATTACACAGGAGTTGTGAGCCTGGCTACAGACCAATTCTCAGAGCTGAGTTTTCCTTTGGTCTGGTGCTCTGCTCTGCAGCCATATTCCTTACTCGAGTTCATAGTTTCTGGGGATCCCCACACTTCTTCACTCCTATGAGGTTCCCCACACTGGTTGGGGCTATGGCTTTGTCCCCATTGGGCTGCCAAGGTGGAGACTCCACATCAGCAGATGCTCTCAGAATCAAAGTGACTCCAGGGCCCTTAAAATTTTGGCCTTAACATATTTTATAGCCGGGATGTAGCTCAGTGGCACAGTGCCTGCCTGGCAAGCACAAGGTCCTAAATCCAATTGCCAGTACCAAAAAAAAAAAAAAAACCAAAAAAACACAAAAACTAAAACATATTTTATGAGCTCTGTGATGCTTCTAAGGAAATTTAAGTTGTTTTCAGCAGGCGGGCACAAGTGATCTAACCTACCCTTTATGAGAAACTAAAGTCTCACAAAACCAAGCCAAGATTCATCTAGGTCTCGGGGGCTGGGGATTTAGCTCAGTGGCACAGAACCTGCCTGGCAAGCATGAGGTCATGAGTTCGATTCCTGGTACTGGAAAAAAAAAAAAAAGATTCATCTAGGTCTCTTTGATCCTAAAATCTAAGCGCTGAATATTCTGATATCCTACTCTCTCTGGAAATTGATTCCCTAATGAGAATGTCAGAGACTGCTTGGGCCTTTTCAATATCCACACTTCTTTTTTACATAAAAGATGTCTTACTTCCCCCCTTTTTAATTTACTAAAACAATTAAGAAAATATTTTAAAATTTTAGTTACATGGATTTTTTTGGTACCAGGAATTGAACTCAGGACCTCTTACTTTGCGAAGCAGGCGCTGTACTGCTGAGCTATATCCCCAGCCTCTAGCTACAGGGATCTTTAGTAGTGAAGTTTGGTTGGGCACATTGCACCCAGCTGAAAGACTCCATTTCCCAGCCTCCCTTGCAGCCACGCATGGCTATGTACTGACCAGTGAAGTTCATATGGAAGTACACATAGTGCAGTACTAGAGGGAGGAAGGAGGCTTCCCTGCCTGCAGAAAGGAGGTGGTGGGATTCCCACAGCCACCTCAGACCATGAGGATGAGGGCAATAGCCGAAGAATGGCAGATGAGTTTAGAGAGCCATGGGCCGAGCGACCATACTTGCTTAACACTGGATTTTTAAAGAAATAAAAATGATTTTGTTCAAATCACTATTTTGAGATTTTCAAATCAAAACCAGCACAGATGAGAAGAGTCAAAAATAATCTCAGGCTGAGGAATTTGGCTGCAGATCCCTTTGGTACATTTTCCATCTTACTGTGTGTAGGCCCATAGCTCTTTTCTCCCCAAACTCCCCCACTTAACAACACACAGACCAGTCCGGGCCCAGCCTTATAAATATTGATTTTATAGAAAGGACCAATTCAAAAATTGGCCAGACGCCACATGCTAGAATTTTCCAGAACCACAATGATGGAAAAACAAAAACAACAAACCCCAAACAGAACGAACAAAAAAATACCCCAGACCAAACTGCCTGAAAATCAAGGTCCCAATTGACCAAAAGATTCTAAAGAAACCTGTGGTTGGTTTGGGGTGAAGAGACCCCAATGCCTCAACAAGTACCCAGAATGGAAGGAAAAACCACTTAGAAATTCAAACCCAGTCCCTGCCCTCCACGCTGTCGAGAGTGAGGCAAAGGGCTTCACAGCTTTACTAGGCGAGGAGCATTGGCAAAGCTTAAATAGTGGGGGTGGGGTGGGGTCAAGTCTGTACTTGAGGGATTTTTTCCCTTCCCTGCAGAGGAAGAGGAGAGACTGGTAGCTTGTGGTTAACAGAAAGCAGTAATTCTTATTTCTCTAATGGGGAAAACATCCAGAAATGGCAGGCTACCGGGAGAAAGTGCCAAATTTGATCTGTGATCGGGCGGCCTCTAACTCCAAAAGCAGAGGTAAGCCCTGGGGTGGGAGGTGTGGAGGTACCAACCTGGGTCAATGAGCTAAGGGGATGGAGAAGGCAAAGAAGGGCAGCCAGTCTGGGGGAAGCCTTAGGTGGTACCAAAATTAGCTGCCGTCTGCTCCCTGCTGCTGGGTCCCTGGGGTAGAGAGTGGCAGGGAGGGTGCTGGGGCTCCATGGAGAAGAAATTGAGATGCTGATAAAAAACACCCTACTAGAGGGTCCCCGGCCCTGGGTCAAAAGAATAGAAAACCCACAGGGGTCAACCAGAGTGTCCTCTTGGGTCCCCCCGGGAGCTGGTCTCAGTTCTGGTGAGGGAATCAAGGCTGCCTGGACTGGGGGGCTGCGGGCTGGTGGCCCAGTCCGGACCCTGGATTCCCAGGGACGGGGAGGGGCGGGCATACTGGGCTCCCCTCCCCTCCCCGGCTTCACCTCCCCTCCTCCCGGCCTGCTCTGCCCCCTCCCAGCCCGTTGCAAGGCAGCACCCAGTTGTTATCGTGCAGGCCCAGGCGGCAGCCCGGCGTCTCGCGATCGGCTCGGCGGCAGCACATCCAGTAGGAGCGTCCGTAAGGCAGGTCGTGGTGGTAGGGCTTGGGGTGCCAGCGGCACAGGGACACGTCACCCTTCTCGTATCTCTTGCGGCACTGCTTGCAAGGGTCATCACGGTAGAGTGGGTCTCGGCTCCAGCGCGAGTCCGTGGCGCGCACACCAAATGCCTCGATGATGCCCTTGAAGTGGTGGCAGGTGCACTTGAGCGCGGCCAGGGCCCGTGTGGGCAGGAAGCTGAAGATCTTGACCAGCACATGCTCGGGCAGCAGCAGCATATACTGTCGTGGCTCCAGCAGCCGCTGGATCTTGAAGCGGATTTCCAAGAAGTCATGCGACACGTGCCGGTACAAGCGGCACAGGGAGGTGTCCGCTGTCCCCTCAGCATCATCCGGGCCTGGCGCCGTGGTAGGCGTGTCAGCTGGGGGCGGCTCGGGGGGCCCATCAGGCCCCCGGGACTGGAGGAAGAAGAGCTGGCCGGGTGGAGGCGGCTCCTCGGGGCTGACTGTCAGGCACACTGTCTCCTCCTTCACGTTCTTGGTGCCGTCCTTGCCGAAGAAGACGCACTCGTCCACCACGCCAGTCACCACCACATCCACGTGGAAGCCTGAGGTTCCGCAGTCCCGGGCAGGAGGTGGAGGGGGGGCCGGGGGAGTGTCCTCCGGCCTGGCAGGTGCTGGGCTCTCACCCTCACTGGCTTCATCTGCCCTGGCCAGCAGGAACTCCACGTTGCTGGGAAGGGCATCCCGGGAGGGGCTGATGAGCTGGTACAAGTCACAGGTGATCTTGTCCTTGGCTCGGGCCCCGGGCCCAGGACTGCCGGGGTAGGCACACCCGGGCCGGCCCCCATTACCATTGGGTAAGCTACTATCTGGGGCCCGGGGCTCCCGGCCATTGGAGATGCGGAAGGCGATGCGCACCTCACCAGGGCCCGGCCCAGGCCGCTCCTCCTTGCGGAGGCCCTTGGTTGGAGGGTTCTCCCGCTGGGCCTCAAAGTGGGCCACTGCCTCGGCCACACGGCTGCAGTCACCGGCACCAGAACGCCTCTCGGACCCCAGGCTCTTGGCAGTTCCACCCTGCTCAGCTGACACAAAGACCACAGGTGCCGGGGTGGTGGGGCGTGGATAGCTCTGCAGGGCCAGCGCGGCCCTCTGTTCCACCAGGGCTACCATCTCAGCTACAGAGAGGAGGTCTACATCCTCCCCGGCTGAGGCGGAGCTCCCCTCAGCAAGAGGGGGCCCCTCCCGGCCCCCTGGATCTGGAGGAGCCCTGGTGGGCTCAAGACAGCGCCTCCTCCTCTTAGCCTTGGAGCTGTCACTGCCCCAGTGCCCCTTGACCTTCATAGAGCTAGCCCGGCTACCTCCGCCACACTGGTGTGCCACGAAGAAGGCCACCTTCTCCTTTGTATTCCCAGGCTTGATAACATACCACGTGTCTAGCAGGACTCGACCCTCATCACCCGCAGCAGAGGCTGAGAGAAGCGGGGCAGACTGGGAGGTGGGGACATCGGCCAAGGCGGGTGGGGTGTTCTCTGAGTGCGCAGGCCCATGGTCTGGCTCGGCCCCGCCGCCGGGCTCAGGGCAGGCTGCCGGCTTGAGCACAGCGGAAGGCGGGCGCGTCTGGTTCTGGGAGTAGGTGCCGAAGGGCCGGGGGCACCAGAGTTGAAAGGGCAGGAGACTGCCACGGTCCATTCTGGGCGTGATGGCAAACGGGCACGGAGTCACCGGACGTCAGAAACAGGACGGCAGGGGGCTCCACATGTCACCTGGAGGCAAGGAAAAGAAAGTTGGCAGCTGGAAAAATAGGCTTTCTTCCCAGGATTCCTCGGCTCTCTCAGTCTGTTTGGAGGGGACAAATCAAATTAGATGGTCACTAGCCATCCTGGGCTGGGTGGGGGTGTATGTAGCTCAGGGGTAAAGCACCTGCCTGGCATGAGAAGGGCCCTTGCTTCCATCCAGCACCACAAACAAACAAAAACAAAAACAAAACTGTATTCCTTCCCCACTGCTCAGGTGAGCAGACAGGGCTCTCTGAAAGGTGTGTAACCCTGACTGGCTGCTTGCTCCAATCCCAAAGATCCCATGCCACTGCCCTATGGCATAGCTGGCAGTTTAGAGATCTCCTGCTGCCTGACCTTTAAACTTAAGTGACAGTACCCACTGGCAGGCAACAGACAGGCTCCTCCCTCTTCTCTGTCACCCAGTAACCAGCTCCTGAAAAAAAAAACCAGGAATTCCCAGCTCTGCCTACAGCTAGTGGCTGCTTGAGCCCACAATGCAACAAGGTGGGCTGGGTAGGAAAAGAAAATCTGAAGTCCAAGTCAGATAGGCCCTTAAGAAACTGGCTTTTGGGCGGGTGGGGGCGTCATGAGAATCTCTTAAAGCCGGACATTGTCACCTAGAAAAACCACATCCTTGCAAAGGCCCTCTGGAATTTCACTGAATTGCAGTAAACTGAGGCTCTGAATGGGGAAGAGTTACACAGCTAAGGCCACAGTGGATCTGGAGCAAAGCCAGCTTTTCAGACTTGGTTTCTGGACTCTTCAGGGCTATCCTGAAAGTGGCTACTATATATTTTATGCACAGGACCTAATCTGGAGGTAATTTGTTTTGGTAATGCATCAGATATAACTACTTTCCACTATGCTTTCTACTTACCGGTAAGGCGCAGAGAGGCCTCAGTCTCAATTTTTCCCCTCGCCCATCTCCTTCCAGAGAGCTCAAAAAGGAAACCTTGCAAATCCCAAGCCCTGCACAAGGCTGCAGACCAGACCAGTCAGCGGACCTAACTCACTGTCCACGTAAATAAAAGTTTTACAAAACACATGTTTACGGCGGCTTTCATGCTACAGCAGCAGAGCAGTACAGACTGCACACGGCCTGAAAAGCCTGAAAGAGTCATTATCTGGCCCTTTATGGAAAAAGTTTGCCTACTCTTGCAGTATATATAGTCTGTCCCTCTAAATGCGGGCAATTCCAGATAATCTGACACCGTTCAAAATTGAGACAGCCTCCCAATGCAGACATCAGTAACAAAGAGTCCCAGTCCTGACTCCTGACCTCCCCCACAACGCCCAATCAGCTCCTTCACCTCCAGAATCTTAACACTCTCCCCCAAACGTCCAGGCCATGTCAACTCCTCCTTTAACACCCAAACCTAAAAATACTCCCCAGCGCAAAACGACCCAATTTCAAAGGACTTCTCAGAGATCCTAGCGCAGCAATCTCCCAAGTCGGTCTCCTGACGCCTATACTCACCTCAGACACCCCCACACAGCCAGTAATCCCACAGAAAGCCTCCAGACCCGAGTAACTAATACACAAAAGCTCCCTCAATTTGAGACGAATCTCAAACCAAGTAAGCACTTCTCCAAGCCAAAAGAGACCCCAAAGAAACCTCACAAATGTTACACCTGCGGACCCATGATTGCTGCAGAGGTTACTTGGGCGCTCTCGGGACACCTGCTGTCCCGAGGCGGCAGGCAGCGTTAGCAGTTTCTGCTTCCACGAGAGTCACAGACAAGTTAATCTCGTCTCGGGTCAACACGTAGAAAAGTCAAGACAGAGGAGCCCCGACATTCAGGCTCAGAACTGGTACTCTTGGGTACCTTGCTCCCCTCCCCGGCCCTGGGCGTCTTCACACTCAGCTACATTCCCTGCCCTTTTAAATTTTTTGCTGTTGGGGCTGGGGATTTAGCTCAGCGGCACAGTGCCTGCCTGGCAAGCATAAGGTTGTGAGTTCAATTCCCGGTACCGGAATCCCCCCCACAAAAATAAATTTTTTACTGTCACTGAGATAGGACCACCCTAAGTCGCCAGGCTGCCCAGTGTGGGCTTGAACTTTCTACCTTCCTGCCTCAGCCTCCCTATGTGCTGGGATTACAGGCGTGCATCACTTTCTGGCTCCTTCTAAATCCCTCCAGGAGCCCCCAAATCCTATGCCTACCAAACCCCAAACCACAAAGGGGACTCCCAAAACACAACCAAACCTCGCACATTACAAAAGAACTCAAACCCTAAGGCGCCCTTTAAGCTCAGGGCAACTCCAAAGTATTCCCTACACCTCCTCAACTTTCCAAGACCCAAAATATCACTTGAATGCAAAAACAGCCCACAAATTTTGCAGCCGCTCCTTCAAAAGAAATCTTCCAAATCCCTCAGGTGACCCGCGAAATCTAGACACGCCCCCAAAGCGCCCTCACCCGCAGCCGAGCACACGCATGCGCTGAAAGGGACCCAGTGCCCGCCCCCACGTGCGCGGGCTGGCGTGAGGACTCCTTTCCTCCGCCCCGCCCCTTTGTTGACAGATGCGCGCGTGACGCTCTCCACCAATCAGCGGCCTCTAATTGGGGCCGTGCCCATATAAGGAAGCCCTTGGCGAAGGGGCCCAACTTCGAAAAGGGGAGGAGTAGGCGAGAGGTGATGGGAGGGGGTGGTGGAATAGAAACAGCCGGAATTTAGGGAGCGTGGAACAATTCCCAATGTCCAGCTAAACGGCGGGAATCCGGCGAGGACAGAGGCCATGGCACTCAAAGGAAAACTTATTACTTGACGGTCCCTCAAAAAGGAGCCCTGATTGACAGACGAGATTTAAAGGACCAGGGGGCCCTAGCATTGAGAACTCCGCGTTGGAAAGCAGAGCTAGGAGCGAGCCAACAATACCAGGCGCCGCAGAGGAACCAAGGTTTCCCCTGAGAAAAACGGCACCAGAACGACCTCACCTTTAAAAACAAATGGGCAGAGCCTCGTGAGGGTCCCCATGGCACTTAGTCTGAGCCTGGCATTCAAGGCTTAGGCCTTGTGACCACAGGAACCTGTCCATTCCCTTTTTCGGGCCAGCTGCCCCAACCCGGACTCAGTACAGGAAAACAACAGGAAATAACTCCGTAAGGACTTTTTAAGTTCTAATTTTGTTCATTTAGAATTCGTACAGCATGCAGTATTTCTGGTCTAGAGCCTTTCTATGCCAGGTGGGATTCAATGCAGGCCCCTGCCCAGGTGTCTCCTGTCTGCAGCTACCAGCCGAGCTTTGCCTGCCTCCAGCTATCCTCCCACATTACAGCCTCAAGGGCAGCCGGCGGGTCTTGTGAAAGGACCAATCCATAAACATTTCCCTGTCCCTGCTTACAACCTCCCATGGCTCCCCAGTGCCCTCCGGAAGAAGCCCAGGTAGGCACGCTACCCACCCAGCCCGGTCCCTACTCACTCCTTCATCCCCACACTCAACAACCCCAGTGCAGCCTGTACCTGGCATACGGAGTAGTGAGAAAACGCAGGCCTTGTCTAATCCTCAGTACCATCTCTGCAGCACGGATGAGGAAACTGAAACCAGCCCAAGGTCATGAAGAACCGATGCAAGTTGGAGCAGAGTATGAAGCCAGGGAATCCGATCCAGTCACTACCTGTACTGCTGCGCTGCTTCCCTTTATATTCCCTGAGGTTGCGGTTCAGCACCCCCTCCTCCAGGAAGCTCACTCCTCAGGCTGACGCAGGCTCCACCCTGGGCTCTTAGCTATCTATTTGTTTGTTTGTTTGTTTTGTCTTTTTGAGACAGGGTCTCGCATTGCAGTTCAGGTTGGCCTTGAGCTCACTTTGTAGCCCAAGGTGGTCTCGAACTCCCAACGATCCTCCTGCCTCAGCCTCCCTCCTGAGTGCTGGGATTACAGGCGTGTGCCACCACGCCCGGCTTGCTATCTGTTTCTGAAAGTCACCGAATTCTCTTCCCTGGTCTGCATTCCCTGTAGACTGCAAAGCATTCCCCTAGATCTCCACCTGGCTCAGTTCCTTCACTCAGGTGTTTGCTCAAGTGTGATGCATATAGGGAGGCCTTCCCTGAGCTCCCTTCTGGAAACTGCCTGCCTGTGAGGGGAACGACCTCCCCATCCCCGCATCCGATCCCTGTTGCTTGCTCTGGGACATTGAGAATATATCTGTCTGGATTGTGCAGAGAGGGAGCCAAGGTAGATTCTAAAACATCACTACCCAGAAGAGGAAAACCAAAACGATGGAAAAGACTCAAATGGGGGCAAGTAAAGAGACAAGTAAAGCAGTGATAGTACCATTAATAATAATACAACTACTATTACTAATAATAATAACACTGAGCGTGGTGGAACACACTTGTAATCCCAGCACTCAGAAGGCTGAGGCAGGAGGATCGATACAAGTTCAAGGCCATCCCGGATTATGTAGTGAGTTCAAAACCAGAAGTACATGGTAAAACCCTATCTCTATAAACCAAAATAAATAAATAAATAAATAAAGGGGGGAGCAACAAATAAAACCTGGTAACAAAACAAACTGATCCAAGCCCAGGAGTGATAGCACACGCCTATAATCCCAGCACTTAGGAGGCTGAGGCAGAAGGATTGTTGTGAGTTTGAGACCCGCCTGGGCTACAAAGTGAGATCAAGGCCAGCCTGAACTGCATAGTGAGACTCAGTCTCAAAAAACAAAAACACAAAACAAACTGATCCACTACATACAAAAGTTCTTAGCATGCATGATCCTAATACAACAGTCTCAAAACATAAATCAGAAAACAATCATCACTGCACATGACAGCCCTAAGCCTATAAAATGACAAAAGAGAATTGTAATGTAAATGTAACATCTCTCAGAATAGATTTCATGAGAAAATAAAATTAGTAAGGACCCAAGCCACACAAGCTACACCCTGATGGAATGCCCCCAGTGGTTAGAGAATCCTCATGTTTACATCCTACTGTACACGGAACATTCGCAAAACCTTGTCTCAGACATTCACTAAGGTCTGGCTGTGTGCTGCTCCTGGCTTGGGCCCTGGAGAGGCATAGGTGACATTGAGCTCACCGGAAAGGGGGAACGCATCCAAATAAACAATCGTAACTAACAGGCGTATATTAATCACAACAGCAGTTAAGATCAGAGCACCCTTTGTGTGCCGGGCCTTGCTCTGAGCACTTTACAAAGATCAACCTATTGAACCTTCACATCTTCTGTTTTTCACGGCATGTTGTTATGGCTTATATCTCCAGGTCCCCTCAAAGCCCCACGCTCACACAGGTGGGGCCGGGCGATCAGGAGCTGACTGGATCACGGGGATGGGATACTCATAGCTTATAGCTAAGTGTGATTTGGGAGGGAAAGCCTGGTCTGAGGAGGGTGGTCCCTACGGGCGTGGCCTGAAAGGGTCTAGCTCTCTCCCTACACCCTGGAGCGTTCTACGTGGTTCCTGCGTGCCCAGCCTTGGGCAGTTTTCCACTGCCAGACAGTCCTGCTTTGGGGCTAGCCAACTCTGGACTGAAACCTCTCCAACTGTGACCAGAACAACTCTCTCCCCTTGAAATTGTGGATGTTACTGCATCTCAGTGATAAGAAAGTAACTACGTCAAAGACAGGAAGCTGAGGCATGGAACACCTCAGAAACAGCCCTCATCTGAGGCCTTTACCCCTGCCTAAAATGCTCTTCCTCAGCTTACCAAGCCCTGTGAGGCCTTTGATTGAAAACCACAGCCCGTCCTCCCAAAAGACACACACATGCTCATTCCTCTTCCCTGATTCCGTTTTCTCCTTAGCACACATTACTATCAAATACACTAAAATTTTTGTTTAGAGGGCAAATTATCTCCCCTTAGTGAAATGAGGATGCCCGGCTCAGTGCCAACATTTTTGCCCCTTACCTCCCCAGCTTCTGCAACAGTGAGCACAGAGTGCCTGGGCAGTGGCCACACGGCTTCCCTCGGAGTCTGGTGGAAGCACAGACTCTCCCGGTCCCCACCCAGGGCCACCGAACCCAAAAGAGCACTCATAGATAGGCAATGCCCCAGCGGTCTCCAGTGGGCAACACATTTGTTTGAATTAATAAAGGGGAAAAAAATGAATAGAAGAACTCCTACCAGCCATCCTGCCCAGCTTCTGCTCCAGCCCGCATTTCCAGTGGAAATCCTGCCCCACGAGAAAAGGATGCCACTGCCTCCAGGAAGCTGTCCTAGTACCTTTCCAAACTTGGATGATCTCTTCCTTGGAGGCTTCCTCTCATAATACCTGCTAAAGGGCAGTGAGCTGAGTGGGTCAGGCCCCTCTCCTAACCCACCTGCCAATTTCAGGAAACTGAGACCGCTCCTCAACAAGCACAGCTGTTCCAGGCTGCCTCCCTCTTTCCCCAGGCTGGTTAGCTCTTAGGAGTCATCCTTTCCATGGTAGCCTGAGGGATCTTTCCAAACACAAGCTGGATTGCTTCAAACCTATCACGTCCCTGCTTCTATCGCTCTGTGAAGACGTGCTAATGCTCAAAAGCTCAAAACAATGTATGTCCCATGAACCCTTCCTTACGAAGGAGCTGGAGCAATTGCTTCACCAAAATGAAGAAACAGCTGGGCATGGCAGCACATGCCCATAATTCCAGCACTTGGGAGGCTGAGGCAGGAAGATCACCTCAAATTCAAGGCCAGCCTGGGCTTTACAGTGAGTTCAAGTCCAGCCTGAGCTACATAGTGAGACTATGTCTCAAAACAAAAACAAAGCAGAAGCTGAGCATGAACCTAGGAAGTTTGATGGTGTTGGTAAGAGACAAAACACAGAAACACACAGCACAGAGCAGGGCAGAGAGCAGGTACTCAGGGAACGCACTTGGCTAATCACATAACTGGTGGCAGGAACAACAACAAGAAAGGA